TTAGGTTTAATCTCTGCTTAGTGTAGGTTCATTTTCCGAAACGTTTCAGGAAGCCAAAAGAGTTTCTGGTCACAACACTGAACATGAGTAGGTGTTTATCATAAGAATGATGGTCATTACTACTTGGCGTCACTCTAGTTTTATTAAAGAATGGTGGTCGGTTGCGATTCTTGCAACTTGTCATTTCTATATAGTTTTTTTTGAAAAATTGTATATTGAGCGCTGACTGTGTTTCTTAAAAAAAAATTGTGGTCAACCAAATAATAAAAGAAAAAATGGAAATGAAATTAAAGAAAATCGGCAAGTATTGTTGGAGGGTGGTATTTTTATGAGCCATCCCAGTTCCTTATTTAATATTTATTCTTTAGGCGAAAGAAATGATCAATGCTTGACAGTCAAAATAATAAAGTAATAATAATTAAATGAGACTTATTCTCTTTGATACGATTAACTGCTTTTAATATTAATACAATCTCTGACCCATAGGAAAACAATAGAGGACTATTAAACACTTCCACAACACCATCATCTGTAAGTAAATTATATCTTCAATAAGATTAAATTACCATTACTTTATTCTGATCATGAATTGATTTAATTTGTACAATTAATATGATTATCATAAATCATTTTTAGTTACCTCTTGTTGAAAAAACAAATGAATTACTGAATGAAGTTGTGATATTGAAAAAAGATCTTGAAATAATGATGATTGAAGTATTATTACATGTTTTGTTCATGCTTTTGTTATTTTTATAATATTTTTATGATTTACCAACACATATTTTAATTATTATTTGTATCTTTAGGATTCTTGGATAATTGAGGGTGCTGATGTTATTAGCAATTTAAAAAATTTTATTAACTTTTATGCTCCAAGATACATGGATTATGATGATCCCTTGTCCAGCTGCATCTTGGATATACCAAATGCACATCCATGGATATCAGAGCATTTCCCTAAGGACATATGGAAACTTTTATCTTTAAATTAGACCTCAAAGTATTGCAAAGTTAATTATTCCAGATTGAAAAAAGCAACAATAAAAGATTTGAAGAATCACTTGTATGCCTTATCAGATTTTTTTTGAATATATAATATTATAATATATATATATATGCATACAATTAATTATAAAATCATCTAATAATTTCCAATTACTAGCTATAAGTTAAGAAATATGAAGAATATGGAAAATTCAAACAATTAGATTTCAATGAAGAGACCAGGTCTCTTGACTCTATTTGGTTGCAATTAAGAGTGTCTTTTGGTGAACAAAGCCACATTAGATTGCTGATGTAAGTAAAGAATAAAAATTTTTTTTTCTCTGTGAGAAATACTAAATCGTTATCATTGATTTAATTTTAGTTCAGATAAAATAAACCAAAGTACCAAAGAAAGAATATTCATTGAAGAATGCAACAGTGTATGTATTTATGTTCCTTTGGTATAAAGTAAATTAATTAATATTAATAAATAAACCTTGATTTTTTTAGGGTCGTAAAGGATGTAAGTCTGATGTCACATTCCTTACAAGAAAACATTATAATGACAATGGTAAGATGGTCCCATTTGAACTTCTTATTGGCGAAATCATTGGACTTCTATGGTATAAAGACAAAAATAAACTTTTAAATGACACTAGAAAGGCATGTTAAAAGACATACATGACTAAATTTTGAATTACTTTTATAAAAAATATGGTAGTCTTGAACATGGAGATATTACAAATATTAGAGATTTAAAAGTATTTGGCATTATAATTAATGGTAATTATTCTATTATCTGCAAATAATCATTAATTTAATTATAAATTGTATCATTTATTAATCATTTTTTCACAATTCAAAGAGTTTAAGTTGTATGTTTACAGTTTATACAAACCATCCAACAGAATTTATAGAATAAAATTGGTTGATTCTTCAACCACACCTGTTCAAAATGAACACAACAAATATGATGAAATCATTGAAAGAATAATTGTAAGTATTCAAATATTCATTTAAGAATTCATTGCATAATTAAATTTTTACCAAAGTAATATTTTATATAAAATTTAGAATACAGCAAATTGTTATGCACAATTAATAGAAAACTTGGACAAGAAGCTCAGGTTATCTAAGAAACAAAATGATGGTAATAAATCTTTGACAATATCAAAAACAATTTTATCACCAAGGATTCATTAATGTCTGAAAATGAGGATACCATTATTTATAAATTTATTTTAAATGTAGTTGGAGTATTGGTGAATATCGAACTTATTTACAAGATATTATTTATTAATTGCTATTTATATGCAAAATATTATTATATAATTATAAAAATATCAACTAATTTGATTAATTCTTAGTGTTAAAAATAAACAAAAGATTGCTAAATATTTTAATATTAAAAACTATTTTTGATTTGTTCTTTTTATTATTGTTACTAGTTGACTAATCATGACCATGATAATTAATCTGCGGCAACAACTGCTAACAGCTGCTGCAACTCAAATTATGGATGAATTATATTAAGTGGCTTCCATATGTTAATAGTAATAGTAAAGTACAATGATAATAACTAAATTTTGATCCTGAAATTCTTGATAATATCAATGTTCACTTAGGTTTTGTTGCAGCATGCCCTATATTTAAAGATTTTAATTCCCGAGGAATAAAAATCAAATGTTTTTTTTTGGAAAATGATCGACATTTAAAAATTTCCATTATGCTTGATATAAATAAATTATATATCTCGTTAAATGAATCATTAAACATGATAATGTCATTAATTCCAAATGAATATAATGATCTAACCAGTCATCAAAATTACACTAGTACTTTATTAAATGAGTTAATTGATTCATTAAAATTAATAGAAAACTGTGCCAGTTGTAAAAAATCCATAGGAAAAAATTATTTTGATTTTTTTTATAAATCAATAAGTAAACTAAAAAAATTTTCAGATAAATTAGAAAAAGGAAAAGATCATAAGTCAGACGTGCATACAATCGGGGAATTAGGTGATGTATTTATTAGTATTGATGAAAAAATAAAAAAAAATTTATTATGTGATGGTTGCAAAGAAAGAAAAATCAAAAGATTAACTGATAAATGTGGAAATAAAGAAATAGCTAGATTTTTTTATGAATGTAAACAATATGCACAATATAGTGATAATATATATTGGATTCCATATAATGAATTTAATAATATTGAATACTTGGCTAAAGGTGGTTTTGGAGAAGTCCATAAAGCAACATGGACTAGCAATTTTTTTCTTGAAGCAAAGGATGTTGTATTAAAAAGATTATATAAAATTTCAGATATTTTAAAAGAGGTAAATTAGTAAATGTATTAACCTTGTATATTATCTATTATTTAATATACTTTGTAATGATTTTTTTTAGTTAAAAGCACATAATGAAGTTAGAGCTAGAAATTATATTAGCCAATGTTATGGAATTACTAAAGATCCTAAAGAAAGAGATTATTTGTTGGTATTTGCTAAACATGGTGATTTACATAATAATTTAAAAAATTTCAAAAAACTTACTTGGGAGAATAAAATTGCTTCATTATATATTGTTGCATCTGCGTAAGTTTTAAATTTTATTATTGGAATCATTTAATAAAATAGTTATAATGTATCTTTTTTTTTTGTTGTCAAATGTATTAGATTATGGAATATTCATGAAAACAATTACATTCATCATGACTTGCATGGTGGCAATATTTTTTCATACAATCAAGATATTAAAAAAGATGAACAAAATAAAATCTTTGGAGTTATTTCATACCTAGCACCTGAAAGGTTATCAAAAAAACCATATAAAAAAGAATCAGACATTTACAGTTTTGGCATGATAATGTGGGAGCACACTACAGGAAAGAAACCATACTATGATAGACCACATAATCATTGTCTTATATCAGATATTTTAAAAGGAGAGAGACCTCAAATCACTGATGATACTCCTGAATTCTATGCTGAATTGATGAAAAAATGTTGGGATCATAATCCAGAAAATAGACCAACAGCTAAAGAAATTGAAGTTCATCTAAATAAATTTTTGAGCTTTTCTGCTTCTGAAAAAGAAAAAAAGATTATTGAATTAGCAGAAGCTAAACGACAAGAAATTATCAATTCAGAAAAATATTTGGATCCTGATATAAATACATTATACAACTCATTAAATGAATCATTCAACATCATAATGCCAAATGGATACAATGATACTCATCTAACCAGTGACCAAGTTTGCACTTATACTTTATTACATGAATTAATTGATTCATTAAAATTTATAGAAAATTGTGTCAATTGCAAAGAATTCATAAAAAAAAATTATTTTGATTTTTTTTATAAATCAATAAATAAATTAAAAAATTTTACAGATAAATTAGAAAAAAAAAAAGGTCATAAATCAAATATATATACAATCCAGAAATTATGCGAAGTATCTATTAATATTGATAAAGAAATAAAAAAAAATTTATTATGTGATGGTTGCAAAGAAAAAAAAATTGAAAGATTAACTGATAAATGTGGAAATAAAGAAATAGCTAGATTTTTTTATGAATGTAAACAATATGCACAATATAGTGATAATATATATTGGATTCCATATAATGAATTTAATAATATTGAATACTTGGCTAAAGGTGGTTTTGGAGAAGTCCATAAAGCAACATGGACTTTATTATAAAATAAATTAATAAACAGAAAAGGTTATCATTACTTGCTACCATTAGTAATATCAACTAGAATATTTTTGATGGTCGCGTAACAATAATTACTTAGTCATTTAACTGTAGATCCGTTTTTTTGAAGAAAACAAATATTTATATTAATACAATGTTATTATTATAATCAGGGTTGACAGAGCCTTGACTAAACTTGATTTAACATATGACTAAATAGTGCTAGTTGAGTTACGCGGCCAGCCCTGGTTATAATTGTACATAGAATAGGAATTGCCATTAATTATAGTATTAATGCTGTTACCATTGGTATGTTGATATTTTCTTTGGAGTTTTGGTGTCACCACTAGTGATGTTGGCCAGTAGAAAAACCTTAGCCGGCTTAAATCCCAGTAGATGAAAAAACTTTTCAGATGGTGATAAACTTGCCGGTATTATTATTACCACTACTATCGTTATTATTACTATAATTATCATTACTATTATTTAGTATTGTTATTATGATATTTCGTTTTAATAGTTTGAATAAACGAATAATAATTCGAATTAAAATAAGACGAATAGAAACTCTATGACTTTTATCCTGCTATAATGTTATTGTATTTTGTTTTTTAAGCAAATGTATGTTTTATTGGAGATGGACCCATCTCAACTAAATATCTATGCCTTTGAATTCTGCACTAGAATTCCAGCTGTAAAAATAAATGTTAAAAGAAATTTTTTTTTTAGCCGTTAAAAAATTCCTTGGCTGGCAAACACTAGAATATATTCAGGAAGTTTAAATTTAAAACAGTTAGTTCAAGATTTAAGTTCCAAATGTAAAAATGGTAACATTCAGGTTTTAAATGTTAATTATAGTGCAGGACACCTAGTCCCACAACTTTTTATTTGTCTTGTATATTCTTTAGTATACCAGAATGGAAATGTAACACCAAAAAAACAAAACATGATTTTGAAGCTAAGACCTTTCTCCACAAAGCTACGATTTCATTTTGTTGATATGTCACATTACCATGGAGAGATCAAGCCTCAAAGTTGCACAAGTTTACTATGTTAAGCCCAAAACTGTCGCGTTACACGCGATTTATATATATATAAAAATGAACAAATTGAAACAAAATAAAAGTTTTTGAATTTTTAGTTGATGATCACATCCATATTAGGTAACCCAATGTTTATTCTTATTGCCGATTTTACTATTTATGGAATGACTAGGAAATATCACATGACAAAACAATTTTTATTGCATTTTTGATTGGAAATTTTTCCCAAAATTAGTCGTCGTGGCGCAGTAAGTTGCGGGATTAGGTGTCCTGCACTGTACAAGTAAATTTTTCAACATTGAATTAAAATTACACGCCATTTTTATCACAGCATTGGTTGGAAAGATTCATTTATATATGAGAAAAATCACACCAATTATGGTTAGAGGAGTGAGATAGTTAGCGAATGGTTTGGATTGATTTTATATAGGTTTATGATGATCTTGTGCCAAAGGAATTATTATTTATTAACAGAAAACCCATTTAGAAAGCACATAAATTGCGGGGTTCTTTTATACGTGTTGGATAATTAATTAGCAACAATATCGACTGATATTATCTTTGATATTCACGTATAAAACAGAAAATGGCCATGCAATATAAATGAATAAATATATGACGAGTCAAACATGAAAATAATAGTAAATAGTAAATAAATAGATTTTCGAAGGAGTTAAACCTAAGCAACAAAAGAATTTTTTCATTTGTTTTGGTTGGATAATGGAGGATAATGATGGACTGATGTATCTTTTATTAAACGATTAACTAAATGTAGAGTTATTTTGAAACAGCCTTTGTTGAAATTTAAATCCTGTCAAAATAAAGGATTAATTGAAACATTTTGCATTTTTAGATGAAAATTTTCCTAATTGGTTTAAATTCAAAAACTGGTATATTAATTATTATTAGAGTCATAGAAAAGCTTTGATTTAGTCAATTTGGAAATCAAACTGAAATTTCGACTTCAATTATCAAAATATTAGTTTATTTCAAAAAAAATTAGTTTATTAGTTTTACTATCAAAATTATCAAATCAATTCTCATCCCAAAAAATTTCACGTGATTGAACTTATTGAATTGTTTTAATATTGATATTAATGAGAGAGAAAAACTTTTGCAATAATAAAAAAACCCATGTAATTTTTTTTTACGAAAATTATTATAATTAGGCAAGATTTAAAAGTAAATACTTTAAGTATTCGAAAATTTACATTGTAAAAAATCTATAATATGAATTCTTTTCTTTGGGTTTATTTCTAAAACATTTGTTTTATCGTGGTGTGGTTAGCTAAATTATGATTTGCTACTTTCGTTTTTCAAACGACATTTTTTAATTTCTTTGGAGCTTAAAAGACTACTAATCACCACCAATTTGACACCAGTGTTAATTTATAGATAACAGGGAAACTTGGTACACGTGACTAAATCGGAAATAATATATTAATATTAATATTAATATTAATTGTATAACATTTTTTCCACAAAAAATTCAATTTAACTTGTAGTCAAAATGTATAATTGTTTCGAAACAATTTATTTTACATATCAAAATAACAAACAGAGTTTATTTGGCACTAAGGATTTTAAATAGTAAAAACCATGTTGAATGAGTTGAACTGCGGTTGTAAACCTGCGGCTTTAAACCACTGTTGAACATATATTAATACTTAATCAGATCAACAAACCGCGGTTTAAACTATGGTTTAACTGTCTGTAATGGTTAACCCGTGGTTAAACTGCAGTTAAATCAACAATTTAACATCTCTATTTGGCACACAGATGAAGCGTTGAATTATTTAAAAAAGGGCCATATCAACGTAAATTTTTATTGTTTAGGTGAAATGTTTTACTCTTGCTCATTAATTAAATTTGCTTGTGTTTTGCAAACCATTCTTATCATCATTCTCTGCCTAAATTATTATTATGGTGGGTTCAAATTTCCATCCCTATAATATATTTATTTACTAAAATTCTACAGAAATTATGCAGAATGCGTGTAATTTTTTTTTTGTTACATGTAGAAAGCAAAATAAAGTACAAATATTTCTTTGAAAAATATCAATTATTTTTTTTACAGGAATCTAACATTCTCAATACTCCAAATAATAATAACCATAATAATAACATATATTTCACTATTATTATACAGAAAGTATACAGGGAGGTCGGATTCATTCGTTCTGCATAATTTCTATATGACTTTAGTAAATTTGTATATGTTTTATAAATTTTATTTTTACGAGACACATATATATTTATACGCACACACATCAAACCTACATAATAGATTATTTCAACATTACTGTATTTTCAGTCGAAGATTTCCATCAAATTCCCGATAAATATGACGATCTTCAAATTGAGTCAACCACCATAACCAAGGCTTCAAAATTAAATCAAACAATTACACCGACAACAGCTTCAAAACCGAAAGCAGTAAAGATAAGACCCATTCTCAATTATCATGGTAAACCTACCCTTGAACAAATGCAGGCATACCAAGACCAGCCAATTCCATTCAAATCTAAAATGGAATGTGAAAGTTATCATGAACAAAATGGAATCTCCTCCAAAGAATTGTGGAATTGGTCACCAATCCGTGTTTTCATTGGTATATGGACGACAGCAAAAGGGCATAAAATTCGAAGTATAGTACGAGCTATAAATTTAAAGCAACAAGAAAATTTGATTGGCGACAACGTGGATTTCAAGTTTATCCTAGGAAGACCACCAAAAGATGTGTACACACCCGATTTGAAATTAAAATTGACTACTGAGAATGATACCTATGGCGATCTTGTAATGCTGGATATGGAAGAGAATATGAATAATGGCAAAGCGTATTATTACTGGAAGTGGGTTTGGGAGCACCTCGGTACCATGAAATATGATTATGCAGCAAAGGCAGATGATGACGTATTTGTACACTTTCAAAATCTGGCACTTAACCTTCGACCATTGCCACGAGATAATGTGTATTACGGATGTAAGCATAAGTACTATATTACAGGTATGCTTGTAGTTCTCTCGATGAATTATCCACATCTGATTTCAACAACTCCATTCAACAAAACCGAATGGAGGGGGGGCGAAGACACAAGGTTGGGAAAATGGCTAATTAATCATGCAAATTCAACTTTAAATCCAATTGATGAACATTGCTTACTTTTTCAAGACCCAAGGATCCCAGTATTTTATGTTGTAGGGAGAAAATGGGCATCACCACAATCAATTGTCATACATTGGTTAAAAGACTTGTATGCATGGAAAGGTGTCATTGATTTATACATTCCAGATGTTATAAAAGATTTGAAAGGTATATATTAAAAATCATGTAGCAAATAGTTTTGGGCATGTAATCTTCTGTATTTATTGAATTTTTCATCATAATTCTTTATATTAATAAAGCATCAACCAGTGTAGGAAATTGAATGTTACATAAAAAATGTGCACATTTTGTTGATGACCACAAAAAATTGGATAATTGAATTGGTATGCAAACGAACATATAAAAAGTTGTAAATTCTACTCCTAAAAATGCCATTTATAACCCATTTACCATAGAAGTGTGTAAATTTAATTTTTTATAAATTTTTTCGCTCAGTTAAAGAATTTTATATTTTATTTTAATTTTTTTTTAGATTCATACAACATAAAATACAATAAAGGGGTCTGATTCATTTCGTCGACAATCATTTCGTCGACAGTCATTTCGTCGACACCCATTTCGTCGAAAGTTTGTTTCGTTGAAAGTTTGCTTCATCGAAAGTTCATTTCGTCGAAAGTCCATTTCGTCAAATGTTCATTTCGTCACAAACCAATATTTAGAGATTCTATAAAATAATCAAGTTTATTATGGTATCATCCAAAAAATTAGTATACTAAAAGTTTCCAAGTAGTGAAATACAATTTTGAATTTTTATGTATTATTATGTCATGTTTATTCAATTATTTCTGATAGTTAATTGTCCTTAAGTAAGTGTAATAATAGACTTTGTAATAAATTATTGATTTTGAATGAATAGAATTGTTTGGATATTTAAATTTGCGCGCGTAAAGTTAGCCAACCAGAATTTTGTATACTATTTGGTTTTATTAGTTGCAAGCAATTGATAACTTGAAGAACAAATATTCAAGTCAGTCCAGCATAAGAAGAATATAAAGATTTCTTAACAAAATGATGTTCAAGATCCATTGGAGAAACAACCATTATACAATACAATTATGCTTTAATGCTGTCAATAAAATGACCCACAAAGTTGGAATATTAATAATATGCCACCATTGTTTAATGCATCTCCCGTAACTGGGTTAACGTAATGTGAGAAAAAAAGAGTGATGCCAGTTATTAAAATAGATACTGGATGATTTAAATAAATGCCTTTCAAACTGAATTTTTGCGCCATGGACTTAATCCTCTGGTACAACATTCATGTGCTCGAAGTATTTTCAAGTGAATATTTGTAATCCATTTTTTTCGAAAAAGACACAGATTATCAATATATATTCCTTGAAAATACTCAATCTCTATATTAATATATCAATAAATTAATATTGATTTGATTAATTGTTCGGGTCCTATTCTGGCTATTAATTAATTTTCTTATTATTAATCCCATTTATCACAAACTGCAATCTACATTTTAAACTGTTGATGAGGTACTTTAGTGTTAGGCAATTTACGATTTCACCATTATTATTATTGAATTCAATTATAGCCGTGTGATATTTCCATAAATATTATTTTATCTTTTTGATTTCATAACATGATTTGTGCCAATTATATAGAGGCCAATTCTTCAATACCACAATTACCTCTAAAAGGGATAATTTTGGAAAATAATTTACTTAATTTATATGGTAATTCAAGTATTAGCCTTCTAATTTTGTGCAAGAAATTACCAGTTTATCTATATTACTCTCTCTGTAGCTTTAATGATAACGTATTTAGATTAAAATATTGTATCGAAATGGATTCCTGTACTCAAATATTGTTGCTCTCTGAGTTGCTTTAATGGAAATCATAATAGGAGAAGGAAGAGATTAAAATGAGTCTATGCAAATTTAATTAAAAAAAACTTTTTGACAAATGTCCATCTAATAATAGTAATTATTAAAAATTTTACGTGGGATCTTAAAAAAAAAAAAAAAAAACTAATATAAACAGAAGAAAAGGCAAAATCTTTAAACATTATACAAGCATATAAAGATAGTTGTTGTCAACAAAAATATCTGCAAAAGCTTGTCTTGAGTTAAAAAGATCAAGAAGATTAGGTGATGTTCAGAAAAACAATTTAAATCAATTGTTATATCCATATTTAAATAATAGTAACCTAAAAAAGTTTTATTGAAAGAAAATTTATTGAAGAAAATACAGTACAAGCTGAACTTGATCTAAACATTCTTAATTAAGATGTGACCTCACCTCTACCATTCACTATATAATATAATAACCCTAAAAAAAAATAAAATCTTGAATAAATAGCCAGTACAGACGAAAGCTTGATGCAAATTCAAAAAAACAGTCCCAAAAAGATTATAAATATTTTCCTTATATTATTATTTTATTATTATTGTATAGTAATGGCAAAGATCAACAAAATTTTGTTTTTTTGGAAACATAAAGAGGAATGGAAGTATTGATTTTCTCTATAAACCTTTACCTTTGTTATCCTCTTTTTCTTCTTAAACTACCTTCTTTCCGTATTTAATACTTATTTATATACTAAGACATGCTCATTTCCATATAATATTACAACATATTATTTATCTTCACAATCTGCCATTCACAATTGTATAGATTATATAGATTAATAATAATAATAGAAAAAAAAGGAAAAAATGGGTGAAAAATCAAAGCAAGCCAGTCGTTCCATGGTCATTTTTTCGGTGTCATTTTATATTACAACTGCACTTGTTATGGTTCTTGTAAATAAGGTAATAAATAAATAGTATGAAATAATGATAATAATAATAATAAAATTTAATTAATATCATCATTGTTTAATCAACATCAACATCACTATGGTCATCAATATAATTGTGTATTAGTGGGTTTTAAATAATGCAGCACTTCCCTTTACCTTACTTTTCTCACAACTTGTTATGGCAGTAATACTTTTACATATCTCGAGTCTTTTTGGCGTAGTACAATTACCAAAAATTCAAAAAGATATATGTATTGGAGTACTACCACTAATTGGAATTAACGTATTGGGATTAAGTTTTAACACTGTTTGTCTACAATATGTTGATGCAAGCTTTTATCAAGTAAATATAATCAATATCTTTTATTTTCTTCCAACAATTAATTCAATAAATTAAATTGGTTGATTTGATTTTTATGCATAGGTTGCACGTGCCTTAGTTCTTCCTTTCACAGTTTTATTTACATTCATTGTCCTAAAGAAGAAATCATCATACATGATACTTTTATCATGTTTTATTGTATGTATTGGGTTCTTTGTTGGAGTATCATCGGAAAAACAAATTTCGGTTTCACTTCTTGGCGTCTTCTACGGCGTATTCTCATCGATCACAACAGCATTACACGCGATTGTGATAAAGAAAAGTTTGGCCGTCGTAAAGGATAACACAATGGACTTGGTTTATTATAATAATTTATTAAGTTCCGTTTGTTTCATTCCTTTGATTTTGTTTACTGGTGAAGAATTTCAAATCTATCAAATGTTCTCTGATTCTTCTGAATCTTTTCACACCTTCTTAATTGGAATCGTAGTAACGGTAATTTCTTAAAAGAAGATTGACATTGGGAAGATATAAATTTTTTTTTACTAATAGTTGTATGTATAATAATTTTTATGTTATGTGTTTAGGGATTTTTTGGATTTTTAATCAACATTGCAGGATTTTTACAAATTAAAGTAACATCACCAATATCGCATATGATATCATCAGCTTTTCGTGGTGTAATACAAACTGTTCTTGGAGTAACAATATTCAGTGATATTCTTACTATTGGACGTATCGGTAGTATTGGTATAATTCTATTTGGAAGTTGCTTATACACTTGGATAAAAGATTACGAATCAAAACAAGTCGATAAAAACCAAGCACAAGAAGAAATCGCTATGAATGAAAAAGATTTAGAAAGTGGTCAACGACTTCTTAAGACTCGAAATGTTGATTTCGTTATTGAAGATGACGACGATGATGAAGACGACAATGTTGTGGTCAAAAATAAGGATTATCATCTTTTAACTACTAATGATAACAAAGATTAAAGTTGAACATTTAAATTATTTTTGTAATTTTTAATCCTTTTTTTTAATTAATAAAATGCTGAATGAAATTAAACTTGATTCTTTAACAAATGATTTTTTTGGTAAATGAAACCATCTTTCAAAGCCTATCTATCTATCTATGCAAGTGCCGAACAGCCTGAGAAAAGCCTTTTTTTTTTTATGACATTAGACGGGGTTCTTTGCAGACAATGTCAATAATATGTTACACAAATCAGTGATTGCACATGTTTAATATTAATTATTATTAATTCACATTTTTTTATCCCGACCAAAAGAATAATATTGACTTTGTTATAAGTGATGCCAACTATTTTTTATCAATTATAGCAATCATATATTGTTAATATTGGCCAAAATGTAAGTCATATAGTGTGATAATTTATTACAAGCATGTCTGATTTTCAAATCAAAATATTGAATTTATCTTCCCATGGGTTAAAAATTATATGAATGAAAAATAGTATCACCTAGATGGATTGATAGAAACCCAAAATTTCAAAATTGCATCTAAAAAGAAAATTATTTAAAACAAATCGTCCTCCAATTCTCAAAAACGTATAATAATAATAACTCATATCGATATGGATCGCTTTTATTGTCAGATTGGTAAGTAAAAATGCTTTTTTTAAAAAATTTATAATTTAATGACTTTCTTGACTTTCTTAATAATGATCTCATTAGTATAATATATACATATATATATATATTTCGAAGATATATATGAAAAGAACAAGTAAGGCTATAGGTACTCCTTCAAACTTTTCTAGTACTGCTTTAATTTCAGGTTTAATATATATATAACTCAAAATTCATTTATTAACTAATATACAACATCATTATCATTATCAGTTAATTATACAGCATGTAAAGCAGGCATAAAAAGATATTCAATATTCAAACGCACTTAAAATACGTCCTGGTAAAAATAACTCACGTCGCAATATCAATATATACAAATAGTGATCCAGAACCTAAATATCATCAAAATCTAAGTCATGGCGCACACACACAAGATGTATATCCATGAAGCTTATCTGGATGTTACGAGTATTGTTAATCGAAGAACAATTGAAAGATGTCCAAATGTTTTATTAATAATGATATTCAAGAATAATATCAACAATCCAATTGAGAATTTGGATGAAATCAATGATAATAAAAACAAT